CTTGCTTCTTCGCCTGGAGCAGTTGCAAGGGCTTACATGGTCCCCAAGGGCCGCTGACGCGCTCCCCGCCGCCGCCGACCATGCAAGCCCTTGCAACTGCTCCAGGCGAAGAAGCAAGCGGCTGGGAGGCCGCGGTGGCGCCTACCTCCTGCGCCCATCAGCTGGCGACCCCCGGACCTGCGTCCGTCGGCCGAAACGTCAGGCAACGCTTTGGCCGGTGCGGAGGGCGAAGCGGAGGCCGCTGCAGCGCCGAACTCCTGCGCCCGTCAGCTGGCAACCCCCGGACCTGCGCCCGTCAGCTGGGAGGTCTGGAGACGGAGCAGGCTGGCGTGGAGGACGATGGGGAAGCGGTGGCTCGGCGGGCGGGGTCCTGCCTGAGCGCGAATGTCAGGCCCACCCGCCCCATCTGTAAAAGAAAAAGCCTTCCGCCCAAGCATAACACAGAGGCTTGAGACACGGAGGCGCGGGACGCGGAGCGGCGCGGTGCGGCGGGAGGCGGCAGGACGGCGGGAGGGGTTACCTGCATCCTGCCAGCCGAACTCTGGAAGCCTGCCTGAATACCCGTATTTTCCGGCGTATAAGACGACTGGGCGTATAAGACGACCCCCGACTTTTGAGAAGATTTTCAGGGTTTAGAAAGTCGTCTTATACGCCGGAAAATACGGTATATAGATTATTTTATTTTATGTTTTATTATTTTATTTTATTTTATATTTTATTATTTTATTATTTTATTTTATTTTATTTATTATTTTATTATTTTATTTATTTTATTTTATTTTAATTTAATTTAATTTTATTTTTATTTTATTATTTTATTTTATTTTATTTTATATTTTATTATTTCATTTTATTATTTTATTTTATTTTATTTTATTATTTTATTTTATTTTTTAAAAACCTAATTTCACTCTTGTCCCCCTTTTCTTTCAGATCCAGATTCTGGATAACCCATCTGGTGTCTTTCACTTCATGCAGGCCCTCGCTTTGCTCATGTCTCCTGCCAAGTAGGTTCCGAGTGTAAAATGTGTTTCTTGGGGGGTGGGGGAGAAGAAATAACAGAACAACAGAGTTGGAAGGGACCTTGGAGGTCTTCTAGTCCAACCCTCTGCTCAAACCTATACCATTTCAGACAAATGGCTGTCCAGTCTCTTCTTAAAAACTTCAAGTGTTGGAGCAGCCACAACTTCTGGAGGCAGGCTGTTCCACTGGTTAATTGTTCTAACTGTCAGGAAGTTTCTCCTTAGTTTTAGGTTGCTTCTCTCCTTGATTAGTTTCCAACCGTTGCTTCTTGTCCTGCCTTCAGGCGCTTTGGAGAATAGCTTGACTCCTTCTTCTTTGTGGCAGCCCCTGAGAGATTGGATCATTGCTATCCTGTCACCCCTCATCCTTCATTAAACTAGACATACCCAATTCCAGCAACCGTTCTTTATATGCTTTAGCCTCCAATCCCCTAATCATCTTTGTTGCTCTTCTCTGCACCCTTTCCAAAGTCCACCATCTTTTTTATAATATGATGACCAAAACTGGACACAGTATATAGTAAGCGTGGTCTTGCCAAGGCCTTATAAAATGGTACTAAAACTTCACATAATCTTGATTCTACCCCTCTGTTAATAGAGCTTAGCTAAAATGGGCAGCCCTTGGGCTGCGGATGCCCTGTCCCTTTAAGACAGGGATCTTCAAACTTGGCCCTTTTATGACTGGTAGACTTCAATTCCCAGAATTCCTCAGCCAGGCATGCTGGCTGAGGAATTCTGGGAGTTGAAGTCCACCAGTCATAAAAGGGCCAGGTTTGAAGACCCCTGATCTGGATCCAATCCCGCAGTTTCATCAAAATGGCCGACTGAGGAATTCTGGGAGTTGAAGTCCACCAGTCATAAAAGGGCCACGTTTGAAGACCCCTGGTCTGGATCCAAGCCCATAGTTTCATCAAAATGGCTGACTGAGGAATTCTGGGAGTTGAAGTCCACCGGTCACAAAAGGTCCAAGTCTGAAAGCCCCTGCATTATGTGATGCCACAAGGTAGAAGAGCAGGTTGGGGACCAAGCATAGCTGGCTGGGGAATTCTGGGAGTTGAAGTCCACACCTCTTAAAATGGCTGAGGTTGAGAAACACCGGTTTAGCTCTTTCTGAGTTAGCATTATTTCCCCCTCACGTTATGTCAGGGGTCTTCAAACCTGGCCCTTTTCTGACTGGTGGACTTCAACTCCCATAATTCCTCAGCCATCGATGTGTCTTCCTCATTTCCAAAGCCTGCCGTATTTTATATCCTTGCAGAAATCGAGCGGAATTTATGTGCCATATGAAGCCGAGCGAACGAAGTCTTTCCTCATCCGGGGCGGGATCTGGAAACTGGACTTTAGTCGACGAAGGCGGAGAAGAGGTATTTTTGAAAAGAGGATATTAAGGTCCATTGAACGCAAACTCGGTGTAAGATTTCTCTCAAGCTTTTCAGCTAGTTTTGGGTTTAGTTTTCCAGCTAGATGGAGAGAGCAGTTTGCTATAGCTATAGGCTGCATTTCTAAAAAAAATAGTGACTAGTATGAACACCATAGCAGGAAACACAGTGAGGTTGTTGTTGTTATCGTTGTTGTCATTGTTGTTGTTGTTGTCGTTGTCGTCGTTGTCGTTATTATTATTATTATTATTATTATTATTATTATTATTATTATTATTATTATTATTATTATTATTATTATTATTATTATTATTATCATTATTCTCCGGTGAAATGCAGGCAGCCCTCAACAACCACAATTGAGCCCAAAATTTATGATGCTGAGACATTTATTCAGCGAATTTTGCCCCCTTTTACGACTTTTCTTGCCACATCTGTTAAGTGAATCACTGCAGTTTTTAAATGAATAACATGGTTGTTAACTATGAAATTAGAATAGAATGGAATGGAATGGAATGGAATAGAATAGAATAGAAAATACGGAATGGAATAGAATAGAATAGAAACTATGAAACAGAATAGAATAGAAACTATGAAATAGAATAGAATAGAATAGAATAGAAACTATGAAATTGAATAGAATAGAATGGAATAGAAACTATGAAATAGAATAGAATAGAATAGAAACTATGAAATAGAATAGAATAGAATAGAAACTATGAAATAGAATAGAATAGAATAGAATAGAAACTAGGAAATAGAATAGAATAGAATAGAATAGAGAATAGGAGCTGGAAGGGACCTTGGAGGTCTTCTAGTCCAGCCCCCTGCTCAAGCAGGAGAACCTATATTGTCTCAGACAAGTGACTGTCTAGTCCTTAAAAACCTCCAGTGATAAGAGCACCCACGATTTCTGGAGGCAACTTCTGTTCCACTGGTTGATTGTCCTCACTGTCAGGAAGTTTCTCCTTAGGTCCAGGTTGCTCCTCTCCTTGATTAGTTTCCAGCCATTGTTTCTCGTCCTTCCCTCTGGTGCTCTGGTGACTGGGGAATTTGGCGCGGGAACCTCAGATCTGGCTTTGCTTTCCTGTATTCTGCTCGACTTATAGTAATCGATAACCCCTTTTTCATCCAATGGAGCCAAGGATCGCTCTGTCTTAAAGGTCTGAGCTGAGGCAGGACTGACATCGGCCCAAGGGCTCACAGCTGGCGTCATGTCTCGGGTAGGACTAGAACTCCCAGCCTCCCGGTTTTTAGCCTGGCGCCTGAAACGAATTCAACCTTAGCAGTACAAAAAAACGCAGGTTCTTGATTCAGGTGTCTCTCTTCCTAGGATGAAGATCCCGAAACTAGTTGGGTCCTTCTTCTCGAAGATGACTTGGTGGCCCTTTTGACTCAGTTCCCCTTCCACGAACTCTTCCAGCACATGCTTGGCTTTGACGCTAAAGGTGAGCAACTTCATATAGCCAACTCTCTATTCACAAGGTTTTAAAAATTAAATTAAAATGAGAGGCAGTTGACTCATTCGGGAATGTAGACCCCCCCCCAGGAGATTTGGGCCAGCATAAGTTTCTCTGTCTGATTTTAAAGCATTTGCTCTTTGGGGCTTGCAATACGGTGGTGCATTGTATGAAGACTTCAGTGTGTTTATTTGTTGAGGTCTGTGTGTAGTGCGGGGGGAGTACAGTATATTAAAAAATAAAAGGGAGAAGGGGAAAAAAATGTAGAATTCACCTGACATAACAGCGTTCCGTGTGCCTTGGCATAGAGCAGAGGTGGGGAACGACGGCCCCTTTATGACGGGTGGACTTCAACTCCCAGAATTCCTGAGCCAGCCATGATGGACTTAAACTTCCAGCATTTCTGAGACAGGCATGCTGGCTCAGGAATTCTGGGAGGTGAAGTCCACCCGTCATAAAGGGGGCATGGTTCCCCCATGCTGGCTCAGGAATTCTGGGAATTGAAATTCTGGCATGAAAGATCAGGTCCACACATAGTCCAGTTCAATTGATTTATTGCTAATCATGCCCACGCATCGGAATCTTCTCAACTAACACTTAGTACCTGCTTGGAGTTTGATAAATTTCAACTTCCTGACAGTGAGAACAATTAACCGGTGGAACAACCTGCCTCCAGAAGTGGTGAATGTTCCAACACTGGAAGTTTTTAAGAAGAGACTGGACAGCCATTAGTCCGAAATGGTATAGGGTTTCCTTCCTGAGCAGGGGGTTGAACTAGATGGCCTCCAAGGTCCCTTCCAACTTTTTTATTATTATTATTATTATTATTATTATTATTATTATTATTATTATTATTATTATTTTGTTATTATTAACACAATTCAAGGGAGGTTGGACTTAAACCAGTTGTGACGACGTTGTGATTCCGTGCCAGCCTGTGTTCCCAACAGCTGAGTCTGAGGAATCTGAGGAGGAGGTGGAGGAGGCCTTTGAGGGGCCGTCAGGGTCAGAGGGAGGCTCTGATGAATTACAGGACTCACGGCTTGATGAAGAGCCTGGCCCCTCCAGTCGTGTTTCTGATGAAGCTCAGCTGTGTGAGGAGCATGAGTCAGATT